AATATTTCGAGTTTTCGAGTTCTTTTTTTTTTTTTTTTTTACTTCTAAAGGATCAAAGGCGGATTCTAGGATTTTGGGGGTCGTGGCAGGTTGCGTATTTGGGAGCTTTCCCAAATAGGTTCCACACAATGAACATTTGTACTTGTATTTTTAAAGCTACATTAAAAGCGAGAAATCTTCATAAAAGGTAATATTGTTTTTATTTAATTTTGTAAAAAATTTAGAATCTGGCCTCTTGGACGATAATTTACCAGGTTTGGATAATGGCAACTTTTGTAACAATCAGTTTTATAACATTTATTATATATCTCATAAAAGCTTAAACAAATACCTATCCAACAAGAACAGTATTGATATAGCCAAATAAACTTATCTTAGCAAAAAAAAAAAAAAAAAAACGCCTTTGAATATAAGAGGAAACTCTAAAAGTACAAATTTCAACATACATTTTATGATAAAGGTCTTTTTTAAATATTCTAGATTTTTGTATTAAGAACCCTCGATATGTTCTAAAATATCCAATAAAAATCATATGCAATACAAGGTTTGGAAATATAGATTTGTACATTCAAAAAGACGAAATTTCTCAAGTTTCATTTTAAGATGAAAAGTTTGGCCGTCGTCATTTGTATGCTTATGAATTAATAAGTTCTTGGAACTTTGTCCATGTGGCTTCGCTTTAACACAGAGTTAAATAAAGCTGATGCATAGACGGGTGTATTATGTTTAATATATAAAAGTTTTTCTACGCATGTCCATTTTATTAACTTTAACTAAATCTGAAACACACTTACATAGATTCCTTGAATTGTCGCATGAGAATTAAAAGCTTAAATATACTTCCCTCTAAAGAAAAAATATGTGGAATAATGGATTAATGGAAGGAAACAAAATATTTTAGATGTGCCGACAGTCATACAATGAAATTGAATATTTTTACGTCACGCTTACTGCACGCACACTTAGCCTAAGGATGTAGACTTGCTTAAACCAGCTAATATTCGTTCAATGACTTTTTTTTTTTTTTTTTTAAAGTGGACGGTTGCATAAGATGTGGGGAAGTGCATACAATTGCCGAAAATATCCGGTAACGCAAGTTCACGAGAACGTTTAATGTGACTGAAAAACACCGTTAACGCTGGTTAGATTACTCTAGATGCTTAGCTATTTGTTTAACATAACAATGAGAAACTGTTTTGAGCTTTCGTTCATAAGGCATTACCGAATGTTCTTGACAAAACTTACAACATGCTGTTCCTTTTGCTTGGCGTGGAGGTAGTGAGCCAGACGTGCTGTGACGGCATGCGGTGAGAGCCAGGCGCGTCTCGCGGCGTGTGGCGACCACTCACGCATCAAGCGGGGTGGCACAACCGTAGATCCCCAGACACTCGTGGGGAAATCAGCTAGCGGCCTTGTGTGTTACAGAAACGTAAGCCAGTTATGGCAGTTTTGACTCTACGCGCGCCTCTGGGGTCAGAAGGATTGCATCTGAGAAAAATTGGTGGCGTGGCTTTGTCCCTGCATGCCTGGTGGCCTACGACTGAAGCTCTAATCGTGCATGGCCACAACAGCTGTTCTGTCGCGTCTCGCGGCGCCAAGAATGACACCTTGTCCAGGCTACAACTATGAAGTTTTGGTTTGCTGTGGACGCCATTTACATCCTCGGGGGAGTATGGGCCGGTAAGGCAATCAAGCCGTCAGTCATGTTAAGTACAGTGACGGTGTTTACGAGCTCCCATGGCCGTGCACCAGCGATACGCCGGCAGGCTGCAGGCCTTGGCTGAAGATCGACACGGCTCACATAAGAAGGAAGCCCATTCCATTTCATTCCGGGCAAAAAGCATCTAATTCCGTTCCGATTTCATTCCTCCTAACGCTGCCACCGTTCCATTTTCATTCCATTCCGGGGCCGCGGAAGTGCGGAATGATTCTGGAAGCATTTCAACTCCGGAGTGGCAACTCCGCAACACTGGTCTCAAGTAGGGTGTCGAATCGAACCCGAACCTGAACCAAAAACTGGGTCAAAACCGTTATTTTCGACCGAACCGGTACCAAAACCGAAACCGAACCGGAACGAACTCATATTGTGATGTGGCGGTTACCGGTTCAAAGAAAGCGGTTCAGGGCCAATTTTGTCAATAGTTGGTCTTAATGAAAAAAGTTGCGGGCGTATTTCTTTCTTGTATTGCCAAGACTAATGCTATATACTGTCAGATATTTTTACCTTTCGTTTTTATTGCATGCGTAATAAAAAATGCATAATAATAAAAAGCAGAGACACTAAGAAACCGCGTGGTTACCGAGCTCGCTCAGTCCCGCCTCTACTTAGGCATCTAGAGAGCTTCAACTTTACTTTGTTTCTTGGATTGGGACACTGGCGGCGCGGCAGCGGCGGCGGCGATTTCAAAGCACCGCTTGGCCACTTTGCCGCAGCCCTGAACCCCGCGAGAGATACAACGAAGTTTTTCAGTTAGGTCAGTTGACTCTCGGGGACTTTTTTGGGCCGTGGCTTAGGTGCCACAAAAAACATCGAAATCAACCTCTGCTTTTGGCAGCTTCCCAGTAGAAGCCCTAAAGAGAAGAGAAACAATGCTTCTTGGCAACGACGTTTTCTACGCTGGAAGTTACTTAGATCCGAGGTACAATATTCTGCTGCCAGTGAAAGGAAAAGAAAGAGCGCAGGCTTACCAAGAAAGAAAAAAGACAGGGTCAAATATATATTAGGTTTACTAGTCCAAAAGAGAACAGTGAAACAATTAATCCCAAAGTATGTCGTACCAACTCGCTCAAGCCTCAACCTTAGCAAATACGACCCCCAGGATCCGTGCAAAAGCAACTTTAACGTCATCGAATACGGTGACCAGGAAGAAGACAAACTCGACGAGGTTTTAGAAGCCCAAAAAAGGTTGACGAAGGGCGAGCCGCGTGATTTCACTGCAGCAAGCAAGAGCATCGGTCCCCTGCTGAAATCTTTTCTCGGGGAGCTGCGACTCGACTAAAACGAAGACATTCGTTACTGGGAGAACCACAAGCTTGAACGACCAGAACTCTATCAGCCAGCCAAGGCTGCCCTGGTAGCGCCAGCTACGCAAGTCAGCGTAGAGCGAACCTTTTCAGGTCTCAAGTATGTGCTTTCACCGCTTCGACCCACCTTGAAAGATTCGACGATAGACAACATCATGATAATCCGCACGAACAAAAAGGCCCCATAAGTATATATAACGCTATGAAACGTCATAACATGTAAACGCTCTAGTGGTGTTTGATCAAATATATCCCTCTTTCGCTGTGGGATAAAACAATTCCAAATAAATATAAAGATTTCAATATGCCCCCGTTTTTTTGTGTATTTTTTATTTATTTATTTGTTTAAACACTTTAAACACCCCGGGCGGGATTTTATAAGAGATTGGTAACAATGAAAACAGGTAAAAAAAATGGTAGCAGCGCGCAAACATACGAAAGGGACAGGACTAGCGCTCGACTTCAACTGAACGTTTAATGAAAAGAAAACACAAAGAAAAACAACCAAATCACCAGACCGTCACGGCAGCAACAAGTGCTCAAGAAGGCTATTTCTTTTTTATGTAAATTTATCGAGGCTTGGCTGACGCATTGGACTCGTTCCTTTCCTATCTCGTAGGCTTCCAGCAGATCGCGTGCAGATTTGTCAGCCCCCGTCCTCAAAATCGGGATGGTCTCAAATTTCGGCACAGACAAACAAGTGATGCAGTGTAAGGGAAGGTGGCCCCCCGAGGTTAACCGCAGAGACAGTGCGTGCTCACGTGCCCGGTCACTGACACATCGGTCAGTGTGGCCGATGTATACACGACCACAGTTTAACAGGATTCGATTGACTACCCCAACTGCGCACTCGACGTACCTGTTTCTGTGTTTTACCTTTTACGTCACACTGGTCTCCTCTGGTTCCCCTGTTAGCCACTCTGGCGGATAGCTGTGACGTCTTACTGGGCGTCGAAAACAGGTAGCATGTCTAAAAAACACGTGTGTGCAGAGCAAAACAAACAACAACACATAGAGGGCAAGCAACCCAGCTAGTGACTTTTTTACTGTTTACAAAATCACACCTCAGTGTGTGATCTTCACAGCCCAGCACGTGCGTGTTCGACGCTTCGGAAAGCGAGCGAAGCACGTGCTATATATATACGCACGAACTAAAGATGGCACTGACCACACGCTCTCTTTCCCGAAATGACGCCTTCTTCTGGCAGCGTTTGAAATATTGCACACCTGCGTGTGCAAAAGATACCATACTTAATGGAAAGCCAATCTCTTATATATAGTTCACTTAAGAACAGTATTATACAAGTAATGGCCTTGTCACATTATAATGGTGTCATCTGCGCAAGTTACTGTGCAGGGTTTTCAGATCAGCCAGAAGAGGGAGTAGTTGCGGGATGGGTCTGTTGCAAGTATCTCGTGCTCAGAAAAGGCTGCAGAAAGTGCTCGGTCAGTATTCAAAGGTCGAGTTAGGAACCGATTCGAACCGGTTCGCACTTACTAAAACCGATAACCGGAGTGACATTATGTCTGCTACCCTAAACCGGAACCGAACCGGAATAAAATACAATGGTACTGAACCCGAACCCGAACCGAACCGAAATAATGACCGGTTCGACACCCTGGTCTCAAGGGCTGTCCACGACACGATGGATGGTGGCATTCAACTCTCCCATATATCAAAGAGAAAACCCCGATGCTGGGTGCGTCATCAGTCCCAAATACGCAGAAACTGTCGGCGCCGAGGCCACTAAGTTTTGGCGGAGTGAGATGTGTTTGTTAGTAAAATATTTGACAACACAATGTAGCGCTTCTCAGTTAATGGGTATACTCGTGGATAAGATGAGACCTGCGTTTCAGTGACGCTTCCTGCTCACACAGTGAGAAACGCTTCGTATAACAGCTGAAACAAAATGTAATACATTCTTTCTTATTCAAAGTCGTCTTTTCTAGCCAAATACAAAAAAAAAAAAAAGGAGATGACACTCAAGGCCCGGATTGAGAATGGCATCGTCTATTCCCCATATCCCTCGGAACCAGTGCCCGAAATGTCGTTTTACCAGGTGGTGAAACAGTGCCTCGAAAAGCACGGCAACCGAACGGCTGTGGTAAGGTTGTAATCGTATTTAAGTTAACCCAGTTTTGAAATAAATTTCTTTCTGTACAGTGTAAATTTGTTTCATCTCCACGTCCCGAGAAACAAATAATTGAAACAACACACGATCATAGCTCAACGCCGATTAAAATGTATCGCTACTTCTTAACAAGGTAAATAGTCAAGTTGTTTACTGCGTTGACATTCTGGCATATAAAAAAGTGCGAAAACTACATATCTAGTTTTCACTAAGTCTTGCTGTATAATGAATTTCAGAATGCAGAGCCTCAGTTGAAACTTGACTTTGCGCCACACATACACAACCAAAAAGACACGACAAACAATTTTGAAGGGAAAATACATGTACATTTTTATTTAAACGTTATATTTACCATAGATGACAATCATATGGAATGCTAAAATGTTTCACTGAGTGACACACACCGATGCCCATAATCCGTTATACCGCCCTTTTGTTACGCTCGAAGGCGATGCCCGTAACACGACGGTTCACTTTTTTCCGTGTCGTGATCTAAACAGTTTTATCATAAAAAGAAAAACGACAACAACAACAACAACAACTGTGTAGCAAAGAAAAAAAAGAGAAAACTAAGTATTACTAACACATTGCAAGTTTGAGGGAATTTCCAAGAAAACATTTTAGTGGACTAGATTTAAATGAATCACCCAAACCAGAAATCACAATGTGGGCTCATTTAGGTTAATAATAATAATAAAAATAAACACGTTTCACAGAAAAGAAAATAATATAATCTCTTTCTAGCTGTCAAGTGTTTTTTATTGATATATAATCCACAACGTCAGTCCTTATTCTGACAATGTTAGCTGTATAGTGGTAATCGGCTCACGGAGAAATTTGCTTCCAGTGACTTGGGGCGCGCTAGACAGTTCGCCTAGCGCACCCCAAGTCACTGCAGGCAGCACACACTTGTGCATTAGAGGTAGAAGCTGCTCGGCAGGGGTAGGCATCTCGATGCACGTTTCTACGACCCTCCACGCAGCCCTAAACTCCGGCAATAAGGACGCAGGTGCCTCCAGCTCCCGTTTGCTGGAATTGCCGCCAGCAAGGTCGCACCCGGGCACAGTGCCGTAAATATGGCCCCGGCAGCCGACCCCCAACAACCACGACTCCGCGAAGAATCACTTCAACTCGAGTACTGGCCCCGCCTCCTACTTCCATCTGCCTCCAAGGCGTCGTTGACGGGGTGCCAGTGCGCGCACTCGTTGATACCGGAGCTACAGCCTTTGTAATCAGGCCGGAAGTTTTGACAAAGGCAAACCCAGTTGTTCTACAAAACTCTGAAAGCTACGTTGTGCAAACCGCAAAAGGAAATATGGTGACTGTCCTCGGCTCCACAGCTGTGCCTTTCACCGTGGGAAGCCTTCACACTACTCTGCCTGTTATCGTCGTGGCTGTCGAGGAAGAGTGCATCTGTGGCGTCGATTTTCTCAAAACACCCAAGTGCGTGCTCAATTTCGACGCTGGATTATCGCATCTGAGAACCGACTCGTTCCCCCTAGGTGCGGCCACGATGACGGTTCTCAGCGAAAGTGGGCTGCCAATAAATACCACGTCCCCGTATCTGTATCCTCACGCATTATCTATCAAATTAGTCGCGCTCGAATTACACTCTATGAAAGCGCGCCTGCTGACCTGGATAAACACAACGCTGAGAGTTCTTGCCAGCTACTTCAAAGGTTCACAAACCTATTCTGCACGGGAGACGCAGATACAGGGCTCACATCGACATCAACACTTCGTATCGTGACAGGACAAGTTTCCCCCATTCGACAACTCCCTGGACGTATTTCCCTTGCACAGAGCTCAGACGTCGACGACATGGTGAAGGCAATGCTGTAACAAGCCGTGATTGAACCGATGTTCCCCCTGGTCCTCACCAGTTACATTAGTGGCAAAAAAGAACGGTTTAACCCGATTTTGCGTAGACTATAGAATACTTAACGACGTCCCTAAGAAATACTCTTTTCCTTTGCCTCGAACTGACGACGTCTTGGACGCCCCCGCCGAGTGCACGTGATTCTCCACACCCGACCTCAAAAGCGGATATTGGCAGGTTCCAGTGAACCTAGCAGACTGCGAGAAAACCGCTTTAACCACGAGCAACGGCTCCTATCAGTTCAGAGTGATGCCACTTGAACTTTGTAATGCTCCGGCTACATTTCAAAGACTAACGGAATTCGTTTTGTCTGACCTTATGGACACCATTTGTCTTGTATATCTTGAAGACATCATCGTCTTTACCAAGACATTCTCAAATCATCTGACGAACCTCAACACTGTTTTCTCACGGCTGTGAAACACGAACCTGAAGCTGACACCGAAAAAATGCTCGTTGTTTACAGGACAACTAGAATACTTCGGCCGCATCATTTCGGCGGATGGGGTTTCTACCGGCCTTCGGAAACCCTCTACTCTAGCTGAATGGCCAACCGCAAGATCCGCCACAGACGTGCAGAGATTTATCGGGGTGGCATCGTACTATCGAAGATTTATCCCCAGTTTCGCTCGCATCGCCAAGCCTTTGTATGTCCTCTCTCTAAAAAAAAAAAAAAAAAAAAAAAAAAAAAACCCAAAAAACCGAGGTTTGTTTGGTGTTTGGAATGTCGGTGTGCGTTTGAGACACTCAAACAGCACTCACATTTCCGCCAACACTCGCGTGTCAAAAGGACACTGCACGCTTCTTACTTGACACCGATGCCAGGGCCTCAGCTGTTGGTGCTGTGTTATCGCAAGCGCAGGATGGACGTGAACGCGTCATTATGTATTATGCCCGAGTCCCACTTGAGCGACAAACAGAAACAAACGACAATGGCAAACTTCCAACTCATGCAGCATGCTCGCGATGGTACTTTTTGCAAGCGTTTACTCGTTCCGTGCTCGTGAATTAAGCACAAGTGATTACAAGCCTGCCACAGATACCCTCGCGTGCATGATGCTCGTGTCTGAGGATCATGCAACCTTTATTCTGCAAAGCCTGTCAAATCGCGAAAGACTCTGGTTTGAGGATTGTCGCTGTCGTTTGTTTCTGTTGGTCGGTCTAGTGGGACTTGGGTATTAGAAAAAGGACTTTACGAAACCCGCACGCCATTACTGTACCACCCGACGCGATCTACTGGCCATCATCCAAGCCATTACTTATTTTGACCATTATCTACTGGGCCGGAAGTTTATTATTCGTACCGACCACGCATCACTGACATGGATGCTGAATTTCAAGACCCCTGATGTTCAGGTCACTTGCTGGCTGGAACACCTGCGTCAATACGACTTCGACATCCAACATCGTGCTGGCTCACTTCACACCAATGCCGATGGCCTCACCCGTCGCCCATGCAGTGAAAAGTGCAATCAATCAGTGCTTGAGCATTGTAAAACGTAGCTTAGACTCGCTCAACGCACTAAACTACCTCCTTTGCGGCACTTAAACGTGGATATCGGAAAGCCTTTCTGGTGCTCAACGTGACGACCCGGACATCGGCCCATTCGTAAGATGGAAGAGACAGAATAGCAAGCCTCCACCTAAAGAAGTGTCCAGGTTATCTCCGGCACTCAAGAGTTACTTGGCGCAATAATGGGACTCTGTTTCTGCAGAGGACGGTGTTCTTTACCGACGCAGGAAGTCCGCTGCAGGTAAATCTGTTGTCTTTCAACTGGTGCCGCCACGAAGGTTTCGCTCCCAAGTGTTTCATCAGCTGCACACTATCCCCGAAAGACGCCACTTCGGCGTAAACCACACGGTCAAAAAGATTCGGCAACGCTGATACTGGCTGCAGTGCCATAGTGACGTAAAGCAATGGTGCCGTCAATGTGACATGTGTGCCTGGCGTAAAGGGCCTCACGTAAAATAGCGAGCACAACTTCAAGAACATGAGACGGGGGCACCTTTTTGAACGCTCTAGCATTGATGCATTGAAGCTGTACCCTCGATCTTAGGTTGGCAACAAGTTCCTTCTAGCCATTGTTGACTATTTCACAAAGTTGCCAGGGGTCATTCCTACTACAAACCAAACCGTTTCCGACATCGCCGGCGCTCTGGAGAAGAACTGGATTACCCTGTGTAGAATTCCCCTGAGCATCCACTGGGACCAAGGACGGAACATTGAACCTCGAGTGTTCAAAGGGGTTTGCGAAATCTTCAAATTCACAAAGACAAGAACGAAGCCTCTCCACCCGCAGTCAAACGGCTTGGTTGAGAGGATTAATTGCACAATCGCACCTTTTTACAACATCTATCTATGTTCGTGAATGATTGTCAAAATGACTGGGATAGCATCGTCCCTTTAGTTTTGTATGCATACCGCACGGCTCCTCATGAGGTTACTGGCTACACGCCTGCCACAATGCTCTTCAATCATGACCTTCGCATGCCCTGTGAGGTAGCCATCCCACGAGCACCAGAACCGGCCACAGACTCTGTGTCTTATATAGGTGAATTGGGGGGGGGGGGGGGGGGGAGGGGAATCGGTGGCCGAGTGGGCTGAAGCGCACACCCAGCTCGACGCGCGTGGAGCGAAAGCTCGCGCTGCAGAACCCAGAGGTCCTGAGTTCGAGCCCCACCCCTGCCCGTTTCGATCTGGATGAGCATCGTACCGGCGTGCGGTCGTGTATCACTACTGCGTGGTGCACGTTAAAGACCCCAGGCTAGCGGTTGTACCGCACTGGCTAAATTGCTCATCTACAGCGTGTGACTCGTCGCAACTTTAATGGCTGACCGACTACACGCTGTATAAATATCCCCACAACCCAATTATTATTATTATATGTGAATTGAGAACCAACCTCAAACGAATGCTTGCATTTGCTCGGCAGGGTTTGGCAAACGGTCTGGCTCGCATGGAAACAAAGTACGAGGCACATGTCACAACACGTTCGTTCTCGCCAGGTGACAAAGTGTGGCTCTACAGACCGCTTCGAAAAAAGGGCTGTCTCAGATACTACAACGCCACTGGCAAGGATCTTTCACTGACATTAAACGTCTCAGTGATGTGGTCTATCGTATACGTCGCAATGATCGAACGCGGGCCCTTGTGCTTCACCGCGACCGGCTTTGTACGAGGGACTTAGTTAATTAAGCCTCACTGAAGCTTCAAAGGAGAGGAGGTGAAAAGTGTAGCGATGAAAAAAAAAAAAAAAAAACAAGAAAGTAGGAACGCGACGAAAAAGCTCGCGGGGGTTGAGACAAGCGAATGATAGAAGATAACTGATGTTCTGTCCTGTAATTAAATAGATGGAAAGCAGACATCTGCTTCAATATATATATATATATATATATATATATATATATATATATATATATATATATATATATATATATATATATATATATATATATATATATATATATATATATATATATATATATATATATATAAGCTCGCACATGAGATCTCGGAGTTTCTCTTTAGTCTGATTTTTGTAGACCTATATAAGATCATGCAAGTGTGAACGCATCGCAGGTCTGGGAAGATGAAGAAATCACTTTTGCGGAGTTCCTCAAGATGCTGCGAAGGTACGCCACTGGGCTCCAGAAGCACGGTATTCAGAAAGGGGACAAAGTCTTGGTACATCTGGACAATTCCCTGGAAAACATGATTGCCTTGTACAGCGTTATGTTTGCCGGAGGAGTTGCTGTGTTGTCCGTCCCTGCACTGTCAAATGGTGAGCGATAAAAGAAATGGCATTTGCAAGCAGCGTTTTGTAGAATATTGTTGTTTATCACTTTCATCAGGCTACACAATTTGATAACGTGTAAACGAGATTGTGACGCAGACAGTCGGGGAGCATGTCACGTTTAATAATTTTAACACGGAATATGTTTTATCAGCCTAATTCGACGAGGAAACCGTCACGATGAACCGTCGCGTTAATAACCCTCCAAAAATTTTCGGGGGAACAAATGACACGTAACGTCGATTTATCTTCTAAATTTAGTGTGGGAAATTGTCGTCACGCTACCATGTCATGTGTTATCAATTCAAGTGACGTAAATGTTACCGAGAAGGGACATTGACGTGATGTGACCAAATCATGCGTCCTCAAGTCAGGTAACGTCAACGTCTGCGGGATGGTTCTGCAAGGTGGTGGTTTGTGCTGAGCACAATCCCAGCTCTGCAGTATTTGTGAGCAAGATTACGTCATTTTCCATTGTCAGTTTAGTTGAGCTAATAAGTTCCCCCCGCGTCTTTTAACGAAACACAAATTATAATTTCTTTTAACAGCTACAACTTTTATCATAATCTAACCCCTGAGGCACGGAGAAATAAAATAGCAGACAAGGCGACACAAAATCTAAAAACGCAGCTGGGTTTATTTGCGAGAGCAGCAGTATATACGTCCGCACACACAAAAAAAAAATGCATAAAAGAAGAACGAGGCGAGACATGCCGCAGCAGAGTTTTGACAGAACTCAGCCAGACAGACAGATTTTGAACTTCGACTGAATTATAATGCAATTAAATGCAAAGTGTCTCGCCGTGTTCCGTCAAAACTTCACGGCGGCATGTGTTTTGTCTTTCTTCTGTTCTGTCCGTGCTGTTCCCTCGCAAATAAACCCAGCTGCCTTTGAGATTTTTTGTTGATCGTGTTCGTTATTTTATTTCTCCGTGTCTGAGCGTGAAGATTACGATATTTCCAAATCAGCTAACCTGCATATACCTTCGCTTCTTGATGAAACATTTTTTTTTTAATCTTTAGACGAAAGGTGTCAAGCAAAGCACAGCTTCGGTTTTCGCTCTTTTTTTTCCCCCGGTATTAATTTAAGGGAGAGATCCAGCGATGATTCTAGCCATACACCAGCTGAACTGTGGCGTTACGCGTCTGCGGTGGCGCTGCTGTCGGTACTGCGCATACGCAGAAGAATTTCCTCGTGCGAATCCTTGGCTTCCGCGCACGCGCAGTAAGCACACATCGGGTGTGGGCAAACACGGGCTTGTTTGTAAACAGTGTGTGTAGGTGCACGCACCAAAAACTAAATGTATTTTCAGAATAGCTAGCTTTATACCATTTCCGGCATGCTATTTGTTATCTTTAAGTTCGAAATAGCTATCGAAAAGAGGGAAAAGCAAAGTTATGCCAAAACCAACTGCCGAAAGAAATGCTATCGAGTTTAAAGCCCGACGACCAGTTCGCGCTTTCCACTTTTCTCCCGCGTCCTCCTCTCCCCCCTTCTACCCTGTCTACCGTTGCCGGTTTCCTCCTCCCCCATGATGAGGAGGATCTTCTGCCTTGCAGAATCTCAAATCTGGTCGTCGGCATTTAACGATATAACTTTTGAATAATATAAAGGTTCCTCTAGTACTACAGTCCGGGGGAAACTAAGCGTTCAGTAATGCGTTATTCATTTTTGAAAAAAAGAAAAAAAAAACTGTAATTTATTTGTTTGGGGACAATCTGTACATCCTGATTACTAGCCCAATAAAGTGCCTTAGTTCTTCGTTATTTGAATGTATTCGCACGGCCACTCCACTCTATTAGAACTCCCCTTGGGAGCGGCCTGCCGTATGCCTCACTCCGCCGGTGAGAGCGATAGTTCTACTTTACCCCGCAGCGCCAGCCGTGGCGCTCGTTATCGGTGAGAGATAGAATTCCTTTCGGGGGAGCATATCGAGGAACTCTATATTTCGTTTCACGTTAGTATGTACTTGTTAGACGCACGTGCTAAAAGCGCGAGATAGTTGCTTCGACGGAAGCCTCGGCGGCTGCGTGAGCGCTCGTGCAGCGACTGCTCCAGTCAAGGCAGCAAAGGCTAGCCGCTCGCGCTAGCACGGCGTTCGCGGTTAGTCCATGCTAAGGTAAGACGAAATATAGTGAGAGAGGAGCAGTACGCCCGGCCGGGCCCGGTGTGGCTATTTAGATTGCTTTTCGTGAAGCCGCAAGTCTCAACTGAAACGAGTGCCAGATTGAATGAATGATGTGACAAATCTGTGTAGAATAAAAGCGCATGATTCTTTCTGCGAAAAGCTCACTCAGCAGCAGGCTGCGCGTTAGAGCTGCATTCTGCTGGCAGTATGAGCGAATCGTCGTTTTCTTGTTCCCGAAACTGTTGCCCCGTTTCTATTACCACTGTAATATAGGAGTTATAGTTGGATATAGCTAGGGCCGTATGATTTCAGGTTTTAACCGACGCTCGAGCACGCGCGAGCTGTGCTATATATTCATCTGTGAAGGACAATTTAAAATCGGATTCCGCGTGCATAACTTCAGCAATATAAACTTCATTGTTCACAAAAAACAGACCAAGGGAGTCATATAGTTCACAAGCGGAGTACCTTTCGGGAAGGCTTCCGCGAAAGCCTCAATATATTCTCTAGTGGGCTGTTTAGGTCACCAGCCCAGTTTGCCAAAAAAGGTCTGAGGAGTTTTCTGAGAAAGAGCTCGCAGGAGCTCTTCGCTGTGGTAGGGGTCTCGGCAGTTAACGCACCACATCAGCGGGCAGTCCATAAGGTGTGGAAGCACAGCGCTCGAGAGGACCTTGCCTTCCACAACCACGAATCTCTGCCGACTGTAGAACCCCCTCGACAAAGGTGCAGACGAGCTTGCACTGCCAGACAGCTTCAGGTCGTGGACTGCTGAGTCCTCCTTGGTCAAGGCTAAACATGGACTGATATGCTCCGTCATGTGATGCATTTCCCTTAAGTTCCGCTTGCATTCAGGACACGTCACCTGCAAAGTTTAGCGGATTCTACACATTAGCCTTCCTTGCTTTCACTGAGAAATTCTTATTCCTTTGCTAGGTTGAATTTTTCAGCTAATTACTTTGAAATTACGACGATTTCTACAAATAAAAATGGTTACCTTTTGTTCGCAAACGAAGGCCAAGTAGCCAGCCACGTAAGTCAGCTGTGCGAACTTAAGTTCGGAAGAGACTTCATTGTACTTCATCAACTGCAGGATTTCCTGTTTCACGAGTGGAGTTGGCACATTTCATCGCCATCTGGCACTTAGAACTAGAACGCGCATTTACATTTCCGGCAGCTTCCAAAATGCCAACACAAACCACACACGCGAGCGTAGAGTGACACTACGATTTTCGCCGAGCACAGCGGTGCATAGGTGGGGGGAAAGCGAGTTCTGCTGCCTTCTGCAACCGCGGCAGCGCCTCGGTATCGGCGGAGCCAATGACTGGCAGATATTTTATCTGTGTAGCGGAGCAAGAGCGCGGTGGGCGCCTTCTCTGTACTCCGTTTCACCTTATGTTGTACCGCAGCGAAGGCTGGAAGCGCGAGCTCATATAGCGTTGACAGCTGCCCTTACTGTACGAGAACTTGTGCCGCCGAGATCTGCCTCAGAGCAAGGAGCTCGCGCTTACAGCCTTTCCTGCGGTACAACATAAGGTGAAACAGAGTATTTGCTTTCAGCTCACAAGACCGCTCACCGATGTGCAGCGCCCACACGGAAAATGGGAGAAGTTCTCCTCTCACGCGCGCTCTTTTGTTTTCGGAAAAACATCGGCAGGCCACACCAACAGGGGGGATCGAGTGGCCGTGGTATTCGCCTGCACATGCAAAACTTTTCACTGCCTCTTTCTTTATTATTACCAAAGCAATACAAATGACTACACAAACAGTAGTGGGGATTCATAGTACACTCTGAAGAAAAAGGGTGTCGTCTTAACGCTTTTGTCCCATATAATGCACCCCAAAACCTCAGTTCGACTTACAGTGCACTATAGTCGAACAGAAGGCTCAAAATTTTACGAGGGTCTTGACAACGATGCGATATAACTTATCAGACAGCTAAACTACGTATCAAAAACCAGAAAAGAAAACACTGAGATTTTGCAGTAGAACCAAGAAAACCGGGATATTTTTGTTTTGTCAGTAACACGTACATTAGTTATTTTAATAAGTTGTTGTACCAAATGGCTATCAAGGCTCTCGTGAAAGTTGGCACTGTCGGTTCGATGTCAGTGCGCTGTACTGAAGTTTTGGGGTGTCTTATTTGGGACAAGGGGTGTAAGAATACAGCCTTTGCTTCTGAGTGTGTAGAAGTACCTAATATCAAAGTGTGCCGTTTTAATACACATTTTTATGGAACAACAGCAATTGACAGCCAGAAAGCCCGGAGCTGTGGTCATTTTACGTCTTTGATAAACGCTCTAATATATGAAATGATCGACGGATCTTTAGTAATCTGAAATTAGGAATAATTTACAAACAGGCACGATTAATACGGAGCATGCCTTAATGCTGCCATATACCAGATGTCTCTAGAAAAAAAGAAGAAAAGAAAGACAGAAGCGTTTAGCCGCAAAAATGAACTAATTGCTGAACACTCAATGTCCGCTCCAAACGTATTGCAAGCGGCCCGAACCAGACGGCAAAGTTTCAGGGCTTGCCGTTATCTTAGTCAAAAGTTACAAACAATTTTCAGAACGTTTCATTAAGAAAATGGTGGTCGACGAAAACCACGAATACCTGGAGATCAATGTCGTACTATCGAGTACCAGCCGCATTTTCCAGTCGAAATTCTCAGAAAATCCCTTCTAACCTTTCAATAGGATATCGGTTACAGGTCTATACACATCTGTACTTCGGGCCACAAGTGTTATTTCAGCAGTGCGTAGTTTATTATTAAGGCGAAGAAAACTTCTTTTACTTTATTTCCTTTTTCTTTGGGGGAGGGAGAGAGGGGAGGGGGGGTGGACACGCTATTTGTAACTCGCTGTTATTAGCGAGTTTTCGTAGATCGTTTTCGCCGTCCCGCAAGGCCCTCCGCAACCCGCTACGATAGCGGGAACTCCACAGTCAAGGCTATCGGCGCGCAGGCGCAGTAGCAACTTCTTCGTTGCGGAACGCTTAGCGGAGGGGGCAGCGCGGTCTACGAAAACTCCCTATTAGCGAGTTTTAGTAGACCGTGTTTCCCCCTCCGCTATGCCCTTCCGCTACCCAGAACTCTACAGCCAAGGCCATCGGCGCGCAGGCGCAGTGGCAATTTTGCGCTCCGCTCTGCAAAGCGGCTGCACGAAAACGGTCTACTAAAACTCCCTATTCATTTGCCCCAACGAACCAGGATAAGCCCAGCCGTATTTTCTCGAAGAAGAAGCGCATTGGAGCGTTCATTGAGAACAATTTTTTTTCTAGCGGATATCTTCTATAGGACGCAACATAGCAACGCCACCTACATTGTGACCACGGCCAGCGAAGCGAATCGATTCAGCGAAGTGCGTGACAAGCTGCAAGTGAAGGCATGTAAACTCTTCTTTCGACGCGCGTTCTTACGAAATGCGGAAAATTCGAATATTTTTTCGCGACAGTTCACTACGCAGAACAAGCGACTGCGGTGTGACGCTGTATCTTGCGTGGTAGGCCAATGCAGACTGCAAGTTTGTCTGCTTCTTTTCCAGGGGTTATGGTGTCGTCAGAACGCAGAGCTCTGATTGGCTCTGATTGAAAGATAGTGGGTAGACCTCGAAGCAAGCTGCCATTGAGGTATAACCGCTACCCTTCAATCAGAGCCAATCAGAGCTCGGTGTTCTGACGACACCATAACCCCCTGCAAAAGAAGCAGACGAACTTGCGCTCCGCGTAGTCCCTTTTCGAAATACCGTCAAGCAGCATTGGCGGTCGCCATTTCTTGGGCACGAAACGAGTATTGGATATCCCTGTCCCTGCGCGCGAACCCTGACGGAACGCGCTCGATCTTGTTACCAGTTCAGCCGAGTTCGCACCGAATGCTGCCACAACCCTCGTGTCTAATACATGCTCAGAGCCAGTGTCCAAGCGATGGCGGACTGCGTTGGAATGAGTTGGAGCGCGGAACGGCGTTCTTGCGGCAGGAAGCGAATGCTCGCGGTGCGACGCGACCTAGCGCGCTGCTCAGGGCAGGAAAGCAGAAACGTGCGCAACTTTTTCTACGCACCTGCACTGACAAAGTGTAATGGGAGAACAACCAGAAGACGAGAAAAGAAAGTGAGGATCGCGTTCTCGCCCGCGCCCTTCAGCGACGCGTGTACGATTCCCTGTTTGGAAACAGGATCTTGCTTATGCTTGTTGGGGAGCGGTGGGGAACACGGAAGCAGCAAGATTTTCTGAGGCTGCGATGGTTTAAGCTGGACAGAAGTCGCGGAAACCGGCAGAAGCATCCCAAGATTAACCACGTCGACTTTGTCGCTGGGCGCCGCCATGGTGCTTTTAGTTTTGCTTACTATTGGAGTGTTTCAAGTAGCAATAGTGCGTTCTTATTGGCTCTTGACTTTGATCGACTGCGTTTTAACGCAACGGTGTGCACAAGTTTTTTGCGGACGTAGTTGCAGCCGCCTGCCGCAACTTAAGGCATCGCCCTCAAACGCCGAATGTTGGCCATCAGTGCTCTCATATCAGTCATTCTTGGGTTGAGCTTTTTGAAGGCTTGAGAGACCTTGCAAGATATGAAACCTGGGGTTGTCTTTCAGCGTACATCGTGAGGAGCTATGCTTTATTGATACCATTGAGCCTCTAGAAACTTGATGCATTAACAGTCGTGTCAACGAGGGAAATAAAACCTTGAATCTACCAGAAGACATATATGAGTGATTGATTTCCGTGTGGATGTCAGTCATATCACTTGTAATGAAATCTGTCAAGCTCTCGGTTACTGGGCCCCACTTCTCCCACATCTGGAATACTTTCGATTGTTTTGATTTTATCACGTGTGCTAATGTTTGATATATTTCTTTTTTTTTTTTTGTATCCCCCCTCCCCGCCCCCAACTCGTCATGTAATATCCGTGTTTATGTATTTATTTATTTAGAGATACAACCAGTTTCCATTGGAAACTTTATTAGGATGGTTACAGGGTAAAATTCAAGTTACATAGTTTGTAGTGCATGGTTGAAAACGTCAGTGAGGAGGATGGGGCTACGCAGTGGAGACACAGGAGGATCCTAATACGACGTAACACACTTGTAAATGCAAAAAATAACATTACACCAATAGAAGAGCATGGACCGATGGGAACAAGTAGAGTACACACATCATATGAGGTGATTGTCAAGAGCAGTTGAGCATAATTCTATGGATCTGGAGTGAACAATGATGTCAGGTAAGCTATTCCAGTCTGACACTACTCGCGGAAATAATGAGTATTTGAAAAAAGTTGTTACTCTGATATTCTGTGAGTAGCCTTCCATGATTCCTTCTTGTAGTTCTGGACATGTGCGTAGTAACATATTTCATTTTGTCTATAAGTGTTAGCCACTTAATATTTGAAACAGGAACCTTAGTCTCGAGATTTTGGCCCTTTTCTCGAGTGGTACTAGTTGAGCTAAATTGCATTAGTGGGGCGGTGAATCAGAGTAGCGAAATTAATTAAAAATGAATCTTGTAGCCAGGCGCTGCGCCTTTTCTGTTTTGGGCGACGCGTGTTTTGTAGTGGGGGAACTATACGAACGTTAGCATATTCTAATATGGGACGTACCAGTGCCTTATAGGCTACAAACTTTGATTCATTGGATGCTGATTTTAAAACTCGTCTTAGATAACGTAGTTTGTTAATTGCTTTGGTAGTAATGAAGTCGATTTGGGTTTCCTATCTAAGGCTCTGCTGAAAGTGGAGCCCGAGGTATGTATTGTTCGACTTTTTGAAGGGGAGTGTTTTCGATGCTGTAGAGAAATTACAATGTACTTTTTTTATAACTGATTGTCATGCAAACGGATTTCTTTTTTTTCGCGTTTAATACAATTTGCCAATCAGAACACCAGTGACTGATCACTTGCAGTGCATTGTCTAGTTAACGCTGGTCGTTTTGAATGATGACTTCTGTATACAATATGCAGTCCTCTACGAACAGTCTATTGTTTACATAAATGTTGTCTACTAGTCGTTAATATAAAGTGAGAAGAGAAATGGTGCTAGCATAGATCCCTGTGGGACTCTACAAGTGACTGTGGTTAGTGGTGAACTGTGATCGTTAACTTTGACGAACTGTTTTCTATCAGTAAGGCGTGCTTCAATTCAACTAACAATTTATCCTGTGCCAAGTAAGGGTTTAAGTTTTAGCAATAATTTAATTTTTATCACCATTAAGTGTTATAAAATGAAGTGTTTTTTTTTTTGCTGATTGTCAAAATACATCGAATAACACCCTACAGTAAGGTAACATGATATCGAATGTATCTCTGCTTTCGATTCACCTGCTTTTGAGTCATATTCCTTGCTGAGCACCTTTGCACTCCCTTTACAGCAACAGCAACAGGATTGTATGTCAGGGGGCTCCGTTCAAAATACCAGTTGTGGGAGGGGCAGCCTCCCCGTTTTTTCTGCACAGGGCATGTGCGACCCGCTATGCGTGGCAACCCGTACAAATGGGTTGTCCCCATTTAACGGAATGACATTTTAAGTGGAGCAACCCAAACAAATGGGTTGTCCCATTAGCATGGGTCGCCCTGCATGGGGCCCTGTTTGTATAGGGCAACCCGTTCACATATAAGAAAACCCACCTTTAAACAGGTTTAGCATGTCCATAAAACTACATAGCCCAAACGGGATAACTTGCACAAAATGTATACGGGTTTTCTCAGTAGGAAATCAGGCGATGCAGATTTAGTGTAAATAATAAATAAATAAATAAATAAATTAATTAATAAATAAACATTTACGCAATTTTTGCTTTTAGGGCTACTTCACTACAGGGGTCTTCCCAGGATTTCTGTCCATGACTGAGTTCCAGAAATTGAACGAAAACGACTTCCAGGAATGTCACATTGAGGACTTCAAGAGCGAAGTGATCGTGCTGTCCTTCACATCCGGATCAACGGGTCCCCCGAAGGCTGTTGAACACACGCACTACAGCTTCGTGGCCGCTTTACCTCGCCCCAAGTACGTTCTCTAATTTCTGCCTATGAGATAGCAAATGAATTTGGTCTTGCTACGGACGGCCCTTCGCTGTTTCCAAGGTTCTTGGCGCCTGGAACAAAACGGATCGTTTTCCCAAGGCACCCAAGGTTCTGATACTGCTCCTTAATAGTACTGAACTGTCCACACGTCTCGAAGTGTCCTTTTTGTGTCTATGTGTGTGTGTACGTAAGTGAGCTTTAACATGATCCTCGCCAATATCTTGCATCATCATCATTCTTTCATCACTCTATTTTTCTTATCCCTCTTCTCCTAACCCAAGTGCAGAGTAACCAGCAAGGACTAACTTCCAGGCTAACCTTTCTGTCATTAAAATCAATCAAGTTGGTCTCGATATGAAAGTTTGCAAGCAGCCAGGCTTCAAAAAGCTATATAGTTGGACCACCATGTGTAGAGAACGCTTATGTTGGGGAATTTGCGGGGCAATTGCGGGCACCCTTTAAGGCCCTGTCCACTGATGCAACACAATGGCAGCAGCAACAAGACATGTTGTCCGACAGTCGGGCAACTTGTTACTCTCTCCACGCGTTGTCCGACAACCCTGTAACATCGCGGCAACAACAGCACAACATGAACGACAATGAAAATGTTACCTCGGAATGACAGCTTTCGGTAACAAAAACAGCGGCAACTTCTGTTGGACAACGTGTGTTGCCCTGATCGCTGGCTGAGCGAATTTCTAGCCGGTAGCACGGCAGCAGAAATAATTTCGGTGGCATAGCTAGTTCCCGATCAACGTATTTTTAATAGCTTACTCAAATAAAGGCTGGGAGAGAGTTATTTAACAATAATTAAGGCTGGCACGGAGCTAAAATAATTTGATTACTGGTTTTACTGCATAATTACGGAGAGCGATTGTCAAAATGGTCACAGCTACGGTAAAGAACGACCAGACTGGTGTTCTGGTTAGAACTGCCGAGAGACCAGCTCACATTACAACTAGTGAAATAAAATGGCATGCCTACTCAACCGCTGCTAAAGTGTAATATAAATAATCCAGGATAGCAAAGAATAAAAATTCTAATAAATAAAACAACCGCCGTGACCTTGATTGTTGCTCCTTGGAGCTTGGAAACAGCCGCTACCAGACACCTGATTTGTTTAAAAAATACCCAGGACGTTTTATGGAATGGAGCGATCACATAGCGGGCGGTATACGCAAATATACAGTGCTGAAAAATATTTATTTCACCAATTGTTACGAAGGCCGATTGTGTCGGTGTCGCACTTTTGGAGCACGCTCAGTTCAGCTGAGCACCACGCTATAAAAGACGCTCTGGGGTATTGCCGGTTCTAACTCAACTTTACGGTAGAAATAGGAATTTCATAAAAGAGAGAACCGGATAGAAACACCCCCTTCGTACTGGCATTAATCACGAACATGTATCAGCGATCTCACTTTCCTCGATTAGGGCTATCCGCTTTGTCAAAGATTGGAGAACATTTTGAAAAAAAATGAAGGTTGGAAATAGTTTTCCAACCACTGTAACTGGCTGATTTTATCCCATGATAACTGCCGGCCCTTCGAACGCACTAGCACTCTGTAGGATCCCATTTCCAGCGACGCCGCGCCGCATATGAACGATGGTGAACAATCAAGATGGCGGGGTGTTCCCCGTGTCGTCCCCGCCGTCAGCGCGGTGTGACAGAGTGGTCGGACAGTAAATTGGCCAACACGGTAATATTGAAATCGGTATTATTGAAAGTATTCAAAGAAAAGCTGCGAGATTTAGTTTTCACAAATACGGTCATTATTATTCGCCAACAGCTAGAGCTCTTAAAAAAAGCCGGACTATTGTCCATGATCTAGCAAAATTTCGTGGATTGAAATTTTTGTACATTCTTTTAAATGGCTGATATAAAATCGACAAAACCAATTATGTAAAGCGTTCAGAAGTAAGAATCACCAGAAACAAGCACAGCGATACAGCCGTTAAGTATTCCTTTGATAATAACATTTTCCATTTTTTTCAGTTATACAAGTGTTGACTCGTTGATTGGTGCCATTTAAACCGACTTGTTTTGTCAATCTATGAGTTGATATGTTATTTATTTTTTCGAGAAAGACGCGGGACTTTCATTTTGTTTACTCTCGGCTACCTCAAATTGTATATTTGTTTCTTTTGTACCCCAATGCCTTTTATAATCTGTACCAGGATTAGCAGTATTCTGAAATAAACAAATAAATAAACACGGCTGCCTGATAGAGTGACGATAACCAGTCGCCCAATCGTTGTGGCCGCGATGTGACAGTGTCGGCTGAAAACAGGTTTTCCTCGTGTTGCCGGACAGAGCTGTCCAACTGTGTCTTCGGTGCGGCAGGGCCCGTAGCGAGGCTCCATTAAATCCTACCGCGCAGCCGACCCTACGACCCAACGGAGCGAGCCAGTTGGGCAGCGCAAAAACTGCATCGTCATGGCGCTCATCGACTTTCGTATGCTATCCCCCGACTGCACCAATACCGCACAGTGCATGCGCCGCCATCTTGCCCTTTCTCTGCGCGTGATGGATTTAGCCGGCGATAGCGAACCCACGACGAAAGCAACGAGCGCCGTGACGTCACATTTCTGGCGCTGCTCGATTCGCTTCATTGGATCGTAGCTGCGGCCTGCCTTAAAAGTGTAACGAAGTATAGATTAACTCAACTCACTGACGTCACGCCACCGCGGTGGCGCTGCTGTCGGTACTGCGCATGCGCATACGCTTCTCTTCAAGCGAGTTTGATTTCTGCGCACGCGCGGTGCCCACACCTTACGCGGCCAAAGCGGGCTTGTTTGTAGACACCGTGTTGGTGTGTGTGGAGAGAAGTAATTTTTTTTGTCACTTCGTTACTGTCTTAGTTTTAGTGTTGTTGTACTTTTTGCTTCTGCGACAAGTACCGAGAAGCCTCAATTTGAAATTGGTTACAGCTAATGTACATGCAACCGTCGGTGAAGCACATCATCGCCGATATTTCGTATGTTGTACGTGCCTAATGCGCGTGAAAGGCAAAGAAAATCTGTCTCGAATCACTTAAAATAGTAAAGTTCGATGACGAAGCTACTTTCTTTTCATACTTTTCTTAGTACGGGTTTTCCGCGTGGCATTATAAAATATGGTTCGAATGGGCGCATATAGTTTTTTTTTCAGTAAAGCAAAGCAAGCAAAAGATTAAATGTCTTATATGGACGGTGTCCCAAGTCACCAGGCTCGATCTAAAACGGACCGTCAAAATCGACGCCTGCATGTAGCAATCTAAACTTTTCGTCAATGGTGTATTTCACAGGTCGGTTTTTTCTCGTAAAGTTACACAGGGTAGCTCTCTTTCTGTAAAAAATAGGGCCAATAAACGTGCCAGGATGAACGGCGAATGGCGACGCAGACGACCAAGTCGAGTAGCGGGGCGGGTTTGGCGCGCGCATTTTAGAGCGCAGCTCTTAGGCGCCCGTTTCCGGCTTGAGCGGCGTCGCCGTCGCCGTAATTAAGGTCATTACAAGGTCACGTGACCCCCCAAGGTCACCCCAAGGGCACGTGACCCCTCCCAAGGTCACCTCAAGGTCACGTAACCCCCAAGGTGACCCCCACGTGACCCCATGAAGGTCACGTGACCGCCAAGGTCACCCCAAGGTCACGTGGTCCCCTCCCCAAGGTCACGTGACCTCCGAAATCACGTGACCATCTTAAGGTCAACTCAAGGTCACGTGAGCCCCAAGGTGATCCCACGTGACACCCCAAGGTCACGCCTCCCCGAGGTCACGTGACACCCCTCCCCGAAGTCACGTGACACCCCCCCCCCCCCCGAGGTCACGTGAACCCCCCGGAGCATATTAAAGAATGATGGGAGGAGGAGGAGAAGGAGGAGGGGTCTACCCTCCCCTCAGTACCATTCCCTCCTCTTCCTCAAGAGCTGCGCTCCAATTCGGCGTTACAGGGAGTTGGAAACGACTTTCACTTTTTTTAGATGGCACTACCTCTTGTTCCGGCTTGCTTTTAAAGAAATACCAAAAGTGTCCGCGTCGACAGGGGTCTATTAATGTAAACATAATTTTTTGGTAATGTACTTTCGGCTTGAAAATAAATGCGGACAATGATTGCAAAACTCGAAGTAACAAAAATAGAAGAAAGCGCGGATGCAACCGCTTTTTTTTTTGTTTTTGTTACTTCAAGTTCTGCTATCATTGTCCGCATTTATTTTTAAGGCAAAGCTAGATTACAAAAAGGTTATCTTCAAATTAAACGACCTGTCAAGTTGACGAAAAGTTCAGGTTGCTACGTGCAGGTGTCGATTTTTATGGTCCATCTTAGATCGAGACTGGTGACTTGGGACAACCTATATAAAGAGTAACTAGGACACGTCTAAACAGTAATCATGCATGCTTTGAGACGTGACCTTATTTTTGTGATACGAGTCACCTAAAATAAAAGACAGTTAATCAGCCTCCTTTTTTTCCAGACGTTTAAACTGTGATTACGTGTTCAGTGGTCCCGATGTTTTCGCTACTTGGGTCAGCATTACGTTGTTTGCTGGGCTGCGATTTTATCTGCGAGCATCCTGTTCTGGAGCGAAGATTGTGCTATTCTCATCACCATCCGATACTGCAAAAATACTTGACACCATGAGGAAGTACAGGGTAGGATACACGCATTATTTTTAATGCTTTAGTATTAAATAACTATTATTACATAAAACGATCTCAAGGCTTGGTTTCCTAGCTATTTGTACGTGAGTAGCATTTAGCAGAAATGTTTAGATATAGGGGCATTCACACGAGTGCGATGATAAATTCGCTGTCTTGGTAAAGCAAGAAGAGCTAAAAGTAAAGCTGATCCTAAATATTACAGTTTTTCGGTATGTATAGTCAGGTGATCTCTCATTAAATAATTTTGGGGACGGTCCAGGTTTGCAAGTCGAGGAAGCTCCTGCGAAGTATTAACTTTTGCCCCATCCAAGGTTTGGCACAACTAATCTGGGAGTTTTGAAAGCCCCACTTTTGTTCTATTTTTCTCACTATTGTTATGAACACGTTAATATAGACAAGGTAACAAAGGACATGCCTGAGATGAATAAAATACAAAATAATTTTAATAGTAAAAGCGGCAATAAACGATTTTAGAAGACACTGCTTATAGCGTTTGTCCTTACAGACAAAAAAAGAAGATATCCCTGATATAACAAAATGATCGGCCATATAATCTTAAATTTTTAAGGCATATTATGGGATCATTGCTAACGTAATTAAGCTAATTATTCAGATTGGACTTCAAGGTCGATATCGACTTTAAAGTTTGAGCCCTCAATTTTATGCCAGAAAAGCAAAAGGCTAGGTCCTCTTCTATATGAAGGTGCCCGTTCTCCACGTGGTCTCCAAGGCATTTGAACACAAATCTACATAATTCTTAGTGTCTGATTGCTGCGAAAAACTTCTGGTCACACGAGAATTTTCTGGTTCAATGCTAAGAAAAATAATTTTATATTCAAACTGTCAGTTTAAGGCTCTTTTTAAGGGATTTTTTGGATATGTACTATTATTTCGCAAACTGGTTAAAAACAAAAACAAAAAAACTGTCGCTTACCTTATGGGAACATCTTGCTTTTCACAAAAATGAACACCGAAAAACTATTTTCTTCATATACAGAGTATTATGCTAAAAGAACGCCTAGTACACCAACAACTTGGATCTACAGTTAAATCTCGGCTGCGATGAAATTTAAGATACTCGCAATTGTACTTAGAAATTATATTTTTCAACACACACCTTTCTTGGTGCAGGTGACAATGTTCTTAGGAAGTGTCAACTTACTCGTGACTCTGGCCAGGAAGATGGAGGAAGAGGGAATTCGGCTGGATTCTCTAAAGACTGTTCTCACTTCGGGTACAATCGCCTCACCGCAGATTTTGAAGCAACTAGAACCGTCCTTTGATCCGGCTATCGTCAAAGACTGCTACGGAAGCACGGAAGTTGGTGGGATCTGTTCACCCCCGATGGGTGCCTCAAAAGGGTACGGCATAGGGTTTCCAGTTTCAATGGCACAAATTAAGGTAAGGTTGACTAAAATTGCTGCTAACTGCGGTTGTCACTGTTAATTTGACAGTAGCCTATCTTATCACGTTTACACAACTATCGGAACCTGTCACAAGGGGTGTTTGTAAGTGTTTACACGTGGGTCGTTCTAATGATGATGATAATCATGGAAACTTGTTTACTCACATGAAAATGAAATACACAGCGGTTCTCTTGACAAAAGCCATCAAATAAACCATATGTAAAAAAGAAGCGCCATCTAGGGCGCTTATGGCCGAATATCAAAGTTTAGAGAGACATTAGTCCTCTCAAAGTGAAAGTCGTAGATCTAAAAAAATTATCACATACTTTCGGTCCAGTACAAACCTTTATACAACGTATTAAAAAACAAAAAAAAAACAACAGGAAAATACATTTACTTATTTAGATGACCTTTCTCATTGCTTCAGCGACGAGTGTCTTTGCTCACTTCGTAGCACCGAAACTAAATAGGAACCGGTCTTCAAACAATAGGGCGCCGTATTGTTTGAAGGCCGATGGCTTCGCGGCATTTTCATAGGAGTTAAGCCTTTTTCTTTTTTTACTTTTTTCTGGGGTAAATTCGCTCTTTGCAAATTTTATAGAAAAAAAATGCACCACCTGCGAGCGACGCTGCACAAAATCGTAGCGCGAGAAGTTAAGAAACCGAATTTCGCGGTCGATTTAAAGAGCCTGGCCGCTATTTGAGACACCGGATATAAAAAAAAGGTAATTACTTCACCGCTAAGTTACTTCCAGAATGAGAATTCCTCATCTCGTTAGGACTGCAGCCTCAACCGCCAAAAGGAGTTTGTTTGCTGCAGTCGTCGATCCCAGAGAATTTACGGTAAATCAGCTAATTTAATCCGAGTTTGATTTTGAGTTGTGGAGAGGCGGGTATGACGTACCGGCTCGTCTTAATTTGCCTGAGAACGAGACAACGAAATCATTGAAGCTATTCGCCATAGAAAGGGGACTGGGCCCCAAAGCACCGTCAAAAGTGTTCGCTTGTGAGTGAAGAGAAGCAACACCACGCATTTCATTATTCAACGACCAGGATTTAACAGGATTTGATCGATATTCTGAATACTGTTTCTGAAAGTAGGGTCGCTTGGCCGAGTGAATAAGTGCGATCACTCGGTTCCGAATTCTTGTGAATTCAAAAAGTAAGCTCAAGTTATGAGGCGACCGACGGCATCGTTTCCAGGCTATTTTTTAAAGTTAAATGACAGAAAGAATGTCAATATTTAACCAGCGGATACTAGGTTTCCTTTGTTTCATTACAATTTTTTTTAGGCTTCAGAGAACTAATTGAACAGCTGAACAAAGTGGGGATAGAGGTTGGATGGTGTTGTCGATTGTTGAAAACTGTGCCAATCATATGCTGAAATACAGTTCCCCCCATGACGATCAACTACTTCAACCTTACGCTCGTTGTTTCGATCTCCTCCCGACCGGCCGCCGGGGAACACCAGGGCCGGTTTTCTCGAAGCGATGGTAAACCCATTTTGGTAAACCACGGTGCCTAGGAAGGGAAAAGTACCTAGGTACTGTAATAAACAGTTAGATATAGAACAACAATAATTATTTTTGATTGGGCAATAAGATGCGCCATCAATAGGTAAAACAAGCCAGTCATTTTGTTTATCCTCTTTTTCCGCTGGTTGTCATCGATCTAGTATGGTATTTTAAGTCAAAATATAGTAATGTTGTACTTGAAGACCAATTTATTTGCTTCCGATGGTACGAAGAAATTTTAGCTACTATGCTAGAGTTTGTCGACGAATATTCGAAAATGTAAGAAGCATTTCCTTCAATATGTTTCGCCATAAACAACGCATAACTTTCCCGTGTTTCTTCCAGTCTGGCAACGCCGGTGCTGTAGTCTCGTTTTCGTTCCTTGCGACGCACGTTTCTGCGATTCCTGCTGATCTCAACTGTTTGCCCTCTCTTCCGTTTGCCCAACCGATTCACCGGTGACAAGAAGCTAAGCTTCTCGTCACCGTTGAATTGCTGGCCACCGGGGATATGTAGAAACCTCAATGCTGTCGGCATACTGTCGCCGGACTGTGAACAAAAAAAAAAAACAGTACAATGTCTGTTCGCCCGGAACGAAGACTTTATTGAGGATAACCCCCTTTCTCCGCAAAGTAATCGCTGCTCACGAGTTGGCGTGCATAGTGTAACAAATTAAACGTCTTAGTATAAATATGTACCAACACTCGTTCGCAAAACATTTTTTTTTACTCACCATAAAAACACTTGCAAGGCTTATGTACCGTCATACGTCTTGGATCCCGGACTGCTGAAGAGTGATGCGTTCGCGGAATGCTGCCGTCGGTTAGTTTAGTAGTCCCTCTGAACTATCGCTTCGCTTGACGTGCTAATAGGTTGATGGTGAGTCATTAACATAACAGCCAGATCGAAATGAATGTTCAGCAGAAGCGAGCAGAACTATTAGCCCTCATTAAGCGACGCCGCGGCCATTTTGCTTCTAGGTACTGCTCCTCCCTCGGCGCCCCTGCTCTCCCAGTCACGTGACCTGGAATTCCCCCTTCTAGGGACAATAGTTAACTTTAAACCACGGTACGCGTTCGAGAAAACGGGCCCAGGTGACAAGCCACAAAGTAGTGGTCCGAAATATTTTTCGATATAACTAATGTTTTTTGTTGCTGCTGATGGTGCTCTCAAATTTATATGGTCAATTGACGAAATCGCAAGATTGTCTCCTACGTGTTCCTCCCTTGTGGCGGCCTGAATTGCAGGTTCAATTCCATGATCTGCCAAAAGAGTAAGGTACTCGGACACCTGTGCCATCGATGGTTTCAGTAGGTCGAGGCTGAAGTCTCTTATTAGGCAAATGGAAGCGCTATCCGGCAACGAGGGCGAGTACTCGCGAAGGTCGAGAAGAAAGTCATAAAGTTCTTCAGAACGCGGTTTATAGACTTGGAAAAAATAGAGGTCATAAGCAGACGTGAGTATTCGCAGTGGAATTGACTCCGATGAGCGAAGCGAAAATGGCACCTCCAAAGAAAAAAAAGCTTTCTTTTAAGAAGACAGCGACACCACCACTGCCCTTCTTGTCCCAAGTAAAGAAGGTGCTTTTGAAGCCTGGTAGTGAAAATAGGCTACATCTTCATTGTGAATATTAATCTCCGTTAGAACGAAGCCGTCCGCTATAGAAAGCATAAGGTTAATGACCAGCTGAAATTCATCCCAGTGTTTACGAATGCTCGTTGACATGAAACAAGGTAAAGGAAGTGCCAGCGTTTGTTGTGAACATTTCTAGCAACATTGTAAATTTTTAAGTTGGAAAAAGTTAGCCGTCAACGCCTTAACTATTCGCTACAGTACAACAGTGTTAGTAATGCGAAAGAGAGGGAAGCCTTTGGTTCGTTTAGCGAAAATTTTTCTGTGTCGTACCCACACAAACTTGAACCCTTTTTCCTTTCCTCTAGTTTGTGCCATCCAAAAAAAAAAAAAAAAAAAGCTTCCTGCGGCTTTTAGTCTAGTTGTCGTTAAAATAGATTTTTAGGTGGGAGTCTTCCCGGATAAGGGTGTCCAGCCGTCCACGACGCGACATCCAGCGTTCTTTCAGAGGGACTGACGAGAACCGAATCACTAAAAGAGGCACTGTACCAGGCGTAGCGGGAAGGCGATGGGCAGCCACAACGTCCGCGAGCTGAAAGTTTTCTATGTTCAGTTTATCTGCGAGACCTGTCATAAGATCGACAAGATTATCTCATGGGGAAAAGGGAATCCCATGTATCCCCATGCTGCAGAGACGACTGGCTTGATCGGTGTTATTTTGATCAGCTTTGAGTTTCTGGATTTCACGGGCCTGCTCTGATACGATTGATCTCAAAGAGCTGGTTTTACTTTGAAGTTCTTTGATTGTTTTGACTTGAGATGCAATTGCCTTTACCAGAATGTCGTATTCCGAAGAAAAAAAAAAAAAACGTAAGAGACTCCTGCATAGTGCCTATGATGTCGCGCATAGTGTCGACCGTCTGCTGCTACGACAACAAAGTGTCAGGTTTCGGGTGCAATTCCTTAAGGGACTCAACAGTTTCTTTCCAAGAAAGAAGGTCAAGCTCTTGATGGACCACCGAGAGCTGTACCAAATAGTCGCTGGGCTCAAATTGGGATGATGTAGCAGACCCGACTTCAAAGCTTTTCTTCGGCAACCCTCCACGACGAGCTAGACAACGCCATTTGTCAATCTTTGCGGCGCTCCTTCCTTTAGATGTGCGTTCCGCGACTCCAGAGCATTTCTTTTACCAAGTGATATGCATGCGTGCAATCAGCGGCCATGAAGCGACAGTCGGCTGGTAGTGGGTCGGAACAAAGAACACACAGAGTGCATAGAGCCATGGCGCCTAGTCGCGATGACAAAGAAGTTGAAGGTAAAGATTGAAGCTTAAGATCAAACCAAACGCGAGAAAAAGAAACAAATCCAGTCTCACCCGCAAAATAAAGTCACCAGCATCGGCGCGCACGCGACTATCAATCAAGATCCGTTGAGCCCAATGTAATCGGGATGAAGCAGGAGGCGGGGCTCGATGCCATATCAGGAGGTTAAGAAGATGCTTGCTGGGACAGTCAGCAAAATCAGATGTGGTCGCGCGTTCTGAGTCTGCAGAAAACGAGGGTCGCAGGGACGCCAGATGTCTTTAAGAACGGGATATCCAAGATGGAAACTGATCCTTGCACGGCGGCTGGCGGTAGCCTAATGGGGATGCCAGGATTTCATTGGAGGACCCTATATTGGGAGGCTCATCGCTGCTCCAGAATAGACCGCGGTGCTAACACCAGTTCTTGACGGTCCAGCGTGCCCGTAAACGATGGATTTTAAAATCATAAATTACTGACTATGAGAGCTGAGATTGAGGGGACCTTGCTTTGGAAACTTCCTCCTCTTCTTCTTTTCTATTATAATAATAAAAATAATATTAAAGTTTAATATAATAATACTAATAATACTAATAATAACTGTTTATTGTTTGTGTACAAAACAACCGGGAAGGTCTTTATAGTGACGCACACAAGAAGATAAAAAGAATAAACAATACACGCACAGCACCAAGTGCAAAATTAACATGACTACAAATAGTTGGCACATTCCACACAAAATTTACTAGTTTCAAATTTCAGCTAGACTCTCCAAGTTCAGGTGAAAAACTGAGGGATCCGTGAATATGTCCAAGCTACAGGATGCGATTGTATTCAATAAAATGTATGTGTGTCCATCCTGTGCATATAAAAAACAATGTATTATTGTTGTTTTTGTGATCCGGTTCATTAGACATTAAAAGAAGTCATCGTATATCCGAGGATTTGAATAAAGCGTGCAAAATTACATAATGACGTGAAACAATTTAACAGGGGCCAACCAGTATACACATCTGATGGTCGATGAGAGACATAGTCTGATTGCGGTGAAACAATTTTAAGCCAGAATCGGTGCCTATTTTGGTCAGATTGTGGACACGACGAGTGGAAAAACCCTGGGACCAAACGAACAAGGAGAGGCATTAGTCAAGTCGCCATGTGCCATGAAGGGATATTACAAAAATCCAGATGCAACATCTCGAACCATCACTCTCAATGGTTGGGTACGAACAGGTACTTGCCACCCAATGATTTGTCAGTGGAGTGCACAAAAGGTGCTGAGTGTCGAAACTCACACTCATGGTAACAGATGTATAAACATTGCCAGAGAATTTGCGTTATCTTGTAGTCCATAAGCTCACAAATTTGGACAATTCACAAATCTGCATTTAAAAAAACGATAACCGGCAGGTAATAAATTTACTCTAAAATAACCGACTTCCGAGGGTTTGAATTTGGGCTAGTTGGTTGAACATGTTTAGAGTTTAAAAGCGCTAAAAACGACGGACGAATAGAAGAGACACACACCACTGAGCGCAACTTACAACTGGTTTAATCTTTAGAAAAACACAGTGACCCTGTACGAATAGGATCTATCGTATTTACGATCATGTACAGTGTGAGAGCAGAAAATCTGATGTGTGGCGATTGGTAGTGAATGTGTGTCTTGTCAGTTTCGCGGTAGGTGTATTTTTTAAAGATTAAACCAGCTGTGAGTTGTGCTCCGTGGTGTTTGCCGTTTTTACTCGTCCGTCATTTTTTAGCGCTTTGAACTCCTAAACAGCGACTTCCTATATTCTTGAAATTTCTTTGCCGTCCGAGAATTTTATATCAACTTCCGAAGTAGAGAATACGCAGTTGAAAATATCGTTTACGTAAACACCGGACAACAATCTGGCCCCCAGTGATTACTGCCTTTGCGGAGTCATGAAAGGACCCTCGCGAGAACTGCATTTCGTTGTCATTGATGAGTTGGAATTCTAGGTGTGGAGCGCAAGACACTTTCAGATTGTCAATAATTTTAAAACATTCGGTGTAGTTTTTATGTTAATGTGTCTTGGAATAGTCATGCTCATTATTTGATTTAAAAATTATCACCTGACGACCGTTGCTGCAGTATATTAACAACTTTTTAATCTTTCATACTTAAGCAAATGTAGTCTTGTCTGGGGTACAACCGCGAAAACCAATCTTAGCAAACTTTATACAACTTAAATATGTTTAGAGCTATCTTCAATACCCCTATAATTTTTACACCGAGACCATCTGTATTAAGTTTTCCAAAAAAGAAAAAAAGGTTTATAAAATAATTATGAACTATGCGCCAGTATAAAAAAAAATAAAACTTAAATTTGAAGGTGGGGCGAGAGTTTGAAAGTGAAACTATCAAAATGAATTCTAATATTCTTCATGATTAAAATAAGGTTTATTCCAGGGTGTCGAACCGGAACCGAACCGAAAACCGGAACCGGACCGGTATTTTTTCCGGAACTGAACCCGAACCCGAACCGTTATATTGTTATCGCGATGAACCCGAACCGGAACTGAACCGGAAAAAAAAAATTACGGTTACCGGCTCATGTCAAAACGGTTCGGCCACGCGCTGTTGACAATGAATGTGCTAGCAATGCCATTTGTTCTTTAAGTGCCGTCAACTGACACACACCTCGCTTACATATTTTTCTTCTCCACTCAGTCTTAGGAATATAAACGCTGCATCCATGAATCTTGACATAGGAACCAGTATTGCGCTGGTCGCGGCTTGCACGGAAGAAAGAAAATTGGAAGGCTGTGCAAAAAACAAAAAAAAAAAAAATCGCGTCACGGGATTTCATTTTCCTACAATCTCGTAAATCCTAAATGCTGCTGTGTGCTCATTTCATAACACGTTTCTTGAACGCGCGAGTTCTTGAAGCTTGCTTCCATCGGAATGAGAAAAGAAAAGGCTGTGGAGTTTGATAATAATGCATCCGGTTTCGTATAGGCACTTAGAAGCTAACATATTTGTGAGACAGCGAACTCTTCTATTTTAATATTTATCCTATTACGTCCTTCTGGCGTTGCGTTCGGTGAAGTGTTTTTCATATTCCGTATCCTGTTTCATGAAAACTTCTTTAAGGGTCTAATTTGAGTTACCGAAGGCTAGTTCAAATAAGGAAGGCTGTATTTTCTCCCCACTGTTCCTTCAATTGCTTACACGCCGAGGTGGCGGGATAGTTAGCGAGTTCTACTTGTAAGTGGGTTTGTAAGGAGGTCGCGGATTTTACAGCTACTGCGTCGGACCCAATTAGATGAAGTCCGAATGCGTAAACGTCGGTGAGGTAACCTTTGAGTGCTCATAAAGAAACCATTCCTGGTAGAAATTCCTGAGCCTTACGTACACTACGATGTATCCCGTTTCGTATGTGCTGATTTCAGATGTTTTATTTGTAATTTATTTTGATGTTGCAATTTGTCATTTATAATTTCCGAACCGGTTCGGCGAACCGGTTCAGCGCCCGAACCGGTTCGCGAACCGGTTCGCGGATCGAATTAGTCGAACCGGAACTGAACCGGAACAAAATAAATTTACCTGAACCTGAACCGTAACCGAACCAGTATTTTTTTCGGTTCGACACACTGGTTTATTCAATGTAAAATATTTTTTGTCAATACGTTGTAGATACACAAAAAATAAAAACAAGCTAATCTTTAATTTTTTATTTTTTCGTTTGCATTCCATATTTTTATATTAACTATGCAGTTTACTGCAACTAATATTTTGAAGGGTTGTGTCTATGCTTCGAACTTGAGTGGAACTAGTGAATTGTTCTTTTTTTTGTGAGTTTCCAATGAGAATAAACTGTTAGTAGTTGGTAATGTTGTTTTATGGAACATAAAACATAAATTTGTTGTATTAAGTTTTCACAGAAGCTTTAATTTTTAGTAGAATGCATGTAGGGATACAGGAAATATCTGCCTATCAAATTTATTAGCTCAACAACGAGTTGTTTTTTTTGCAATAAAATACAAATGCAAAAACACAAAAATATTATAAGTCTATTTATTTATAGTTTGAATGTATCTACCATTTATTTATAATAATGCAATCGAATTTGATGAGACTCCTATGACAAACTTCAGTTATAACTTCAGTTATAAAAATTTCAGAACCCACTTCATTAGTTTCACTTTCAAACTATCAACCCACCTTATCTGAACTTGATTCCTGTATTACAACAAAATAATAATTAACCCGATACGTTACAATGACTACTGAAAAATTCCTAAGTGAATATCAAATTAAACAACACCATGGTTAGATATATAGTTCCCAAGTTCCTTAACAGCGGTATAGAAAAAATATGATCCTTGAGCAATTTTTTGGACCATGTCCTAAAAAAAACAAAAAAACACCGCCTTTCCCTCTCAAAAATAGGTACCTTGTTACCATAAGGTTTACTGTCTTCCCAATAGAAGCACCGACCATTGATCGTACTTTACATTTCTACCTCGTCCTACTTTACACTACCTGCCATTTTTAAGATGATCAGTAATGGGTATTTACAGGTGACATCTGCTATTACAATGAAGAAGGTTGGTTCTTTTTTGTCGAGAGGATGAACCAGCTTTTCCGATGCATGGGGATCACCGTGGCCCCTTCCTCGATTGAAAGCGTGTTGCTCAGCCACGAAGGTATTAAAGAAGCGGCGGTCATTGGCGTTCCTCATCCAAAATATATGGAAGCTGCAATGGCATTTGTTGTGCTGAACACTGCCCACAGCAAACTCACGGAAATAGAAATAGAAAAATTTGTTGCAGGTGAGCACGTGTGTCATTTACAATGCATGCATACAAAAAAAGACGGTTTCTTTAAAGGTTTTTGCAGGATTATTGTCACGCATCATTTAATAATTACGACGCATCTTAGAATATAATTTAGGCATTGGTGTCACAGTATCACACATAAAGTTTTAATACGTTAAGCAGGGAACACATAAGCGACAAAAACGAGCGTCGCCGCGCGTCGCGCGCATGCTGTGAGGTCAGGGGTGGCCAGGCTGACCAGAAAATTGGAACCTTTCTTTTCAATCTGAGAAAAGACAACTAGACAACTTTTATTGCCGGCCTTGGCTGACGAGGCTGCTCTTTGCGGACCCCTAGAATGCCTTCGGGGACCCCAAAGGATACGCGGACCCCCATTTGAGAACCACTGGTCCAGAGCAATAAACGAAACTCGAACTACTTTTAACCTATCCGAGTCAAAAGCAGTCCAACTGTACGTATAAGGTAGCAGTAGCACAAAACTACAAAACCACAACCTGTCTTTCGATTTAAAACGCGTTCTATTTCTCTTTTTGGAGAAGTGCTCGTGTGATCGGGAAAGAGGCGGGGAAGGGGGGGGGGGGGGCAAGTAGGCGAGGGAGCCGCGTGCCAAAAGCCGCAGCTTGGCCACCCTTATATAGGTCCACGTCACAGCGTCCTGAGCTGTTGCTATGGGAATCAGGGCGCGGCGACCGTTCTTGCCGCTCATGTGTTCCCTGCTTTAGCATTAGAACGCTCGTTTTGACGAAAACGCGGTGGTGTGTTTTGTTTATCAGCGCCGGTGAGAGAAGAAGAAGGAAGGTGACGCGTGCGATGTCCCCTTTGGCTTCAAGCGCTGACGTCAGCAAGCGTCAAACTCTCCCTCTCTCCCCGGCGCAGACAAAATGAATGCGCTCGTCAAAACGAGCGCATTCATTTTCGCCAAAGTCACGCGCGCAGCTGTCGCGAAGCCAGAGAAGAGAAGGCGCCGCGGAACAGCTCCTAGATAACGAAGTTCTGGTGCTGAATGAGAAGGCGTCATAAGGAGAAGTCCAACGCCTGACACAGATTGGAAACGAGTGCTGCGTCAGCGCCCGGCTTTGAGTCATGTTTGAGCCAAACGTTGACGCAATCGTCGTCTCCAATCTGTGCCCAGCGTTGGTCTTCTCTGATGACGCCATCTCGTACAGAACTACGGCCTTGTTATCTAGGAGGTGTTGCGCCGCGGCGCGGTGGAATGCGAGCGTGCTCAGTTGCCGCTCTGCCGTCGGCTGTGGTTCTTCGCTCTGGGTTTCCATAGTTTGGGCTTTGAAGTATGTATGTAGTTGAGACGATGGAAGGCGGTTCCCTCCACGAGCGATATAGATGCGGTTCCTTCTACGAGTGGTATGAATGGGGTTCTTTTCACGAGTGAAATAGATGACCGTATCCAAGGGCGTCGGCGTACTCTGACAAGCAGACCGCAGAAAAGTGGTGAAACAATTACAGGAAGATCCATTGGTGGATTCTTAGGGAATTCGTTAGCATGACCCTTGGAAACTCCACACAGGTCCCCTTTTGAAAAACGCTAACACTGACCACGTAACGAAGCCAAAAAGAAGCAGCAAGAAATAGAGGAAGCAAAAGGGATATCCAAAAGGGAAAAGTGAAGGGATCACCGTTAGCGTTCCCCAAAGGGGGACGTGTGTGGCGTTTTCGTCTATGCTAGGATTTATTTACGTCTATGGTATAAAAAATGGCACCTGTTGATGCGCTGATCTTTTGCATTGTTCTTCAGGCCAACTCGGAATCTACATGCACCTACACGGGGGAGTGAAGTTTGTCCACACGATACCAAAGGACGGTTCCGGTAAAGTTCAGAAGACGAAACTGCAGGCGCTTCAACTATGCGACTAAAGAACCTCGTCATGTTCAGCAAGAAACCACGAACTGGCCCGGTCTTGAATGAAAAATAAAATTCGAGCGAATTTTAGGTTGCGGTTTAACAAAATCAGTGGAAACCAATCGTATTGATGCACCAGCAGACATATATTTTTCTTAAACCAAGTTATCGGAATTTTTCCGTTACTTTTCAGATTACTTAGGATTTTCAAAACTGCGGATTTTTCTGCCAGTTTGAAAACATGTCTTTCGTACTGTCCATTACTGGATTATGATCATCGGGTTAAGAAGAACCTATTTTTTTAGTCCATCCCCTTTGGTAGGCTGTACACTTATAGCGGACTCTAGGTTCAGTATTCCACGATCGGAAACTTGTGGAAACAGAGGGACTCTGGGTTGAGTATTCCACGATCGGAAACTCGTGGAAACATTAGGCAGGGGGTGGAGGGGCGGCTGAAAATATTTGATGTACGAACGATTCAGGAACAAAGTGAGCCACAATGAACAAAAAAGCGATGTTTTGGGAGTTCAATCTGGTCACAGTGGCTAAATTGCAAACAGGATCTGGCTTCGTTGCTCGAAGGAACGTTCGCGGTTACGCACTGGATCGGCTGAAGTGTCCATTCGGCTGACGGCTCCCTTTGGCTAGAATCTCCGATTCGGCCGGACGCTTCGATTCGGCTAGGTTCCCGATTCGGCTAGAATCTCCGATTCGGCCGGACGCTTCCATTTCGGCTGGATGCTTCTATTTGTCTAAATTTTCGATTCGGCTGGGCGCTTGTGCCACGCCCACGCAGCTTGACAAAGAAAAACACTCGAAAGTTGAATCAAGAAAATAGAGCATTTTTGCAGAATGCCCACCGTTCATCTTACATGTGACAAAAAGATCTGGTTTGAGAGCGCAGCTCTTAGGCGCCTGTTTCCGGCTTGAGCGGCGTCGCCGTCGGCGTCGGCGTTACCAAGGTCACCTGACCCCCCCAAGGCCACGTGACCCCTCCCAAGGTCAGCTCAAGGTCACGTGACCCCCCCTCCCCCTCCTCCGAAGTCGCGTGACACCCCCCCCCCCCAGGTCACCTGACCCCCTCCCCCGGAGGTCAGGTGACCCCCCGGAGCATATTAAAGAATGAGGGTAGGAGGAGGAGAACGAGGAGGGGTCTACCCTCCTCTCAGTACCTTTTCCCCCTCCTCCTCAAGAGCTGCGCTCCAATTCGGCGTTAAAGGGAGTTGTAAACGGCTTCCACTTTTTTGTCACACCTTAGCTTTGACGTTATACACGAACTCATCTCTGTTACGTCATTGCGCGGTGGTGGCGCGTCGGACGCACTTCCGGTCTGGGGCTGTGGGCGGAAGTCCCCATGTGAGACGTGTATTCCTGCGTTGTTTTGAAAGGAACCTGTCAAAAACCTGCCTTCTCGCCAAAACGCCGCGACTGGGGCTGTAGCAAAAGAGTCGAGAAAGGTTTGAAGGTCAGTTTTCACGTGCTCGGTTCGTCCGAGAACGTGGATATGTGCCGTGAAAAGGGAAAACCACACGCCGTCGGACGACGATTGCTTGGGCGGGAAGAACTTTGGGTCGAATTCACGGATACTTGTGGTTATCAGATTTATTTGTTTTGTTCAAACATGAACGCCGGAATACCGTCAAGTTGTGCGGATCACCTGCGGACAACGTTCAGAGCGTTTTCAAGTTCGAACGGCCGCTTGATCGTTCGAACTGCCGTCTGCTCTTTCAAACGCTTCTGCTGTCGTCTGCTCTTTTAGGCGACAACGGCCCGTAGACAAAATGTTGGCCCGGTACTTACGATAAGAGGTAAGTGCAGGCCTCAAAAGACTTATGTTTGAAGGCTGGTAAGCAGGCTCCATGTAAACAGTAGATACAGGGAGATGTTAATCCCTGTTACCAGTGGCTATCACCGACTTGTTATGCGTGATTCACTTGGTTCGATTCTGCTAGAGATTTTCAGTATCGACGTCGACCATCTCTACGGTTCACTCACTTGCAGCCCGAGCGACGTCGCGACCGAAAATTGCGAGCGAAATCTCATAATGCGAATCAGGCTTTAGCGTACATTCTGCGGCGTCCACGCGGAATGAATCGCCGCATGTCACATTTTTCACGCGAAGTTTCGCGGTGTAACGAGCCTCGGTAATTTCGTCGAGGCCGGTCAAGTAGTCAGACATTGCCAGGAAGACGTGGAATCAACAATTCGAACGCGAATAAGGGCAGGGGGACTAAAACCGACGCCGACAACATCGCATTTCAATGGTTTGTTTATGGGATGACGGCGAGCTTCTTGCCCCCACTCCATCGCGCATGCGCGGCACCGGTGGCGTCCGCTAGGGGCGCTCCGGTTTGTTTGTAAACATGAGTTTGTGTATATATGCTATTTGTTATCAGGGGGTAGGGGGAAAAATTGGGAGGGGGGGGTGGGAGGGAGCGCCAGAGTGTAGATGTGCATTGAGCCAGATTTTGATTTTTTTTTTTTTTAAGGGGGAAGGAGAATATCGTTTGAACGATGAAAGACCAAGATGCATATACATTAACCAGCACCCCTCGTACTCAAATGCTTCTGTAGAGCATTAAGACTTCATAGCCCCAATTTTGAGCACAACAAACCAACGTATAAACTGACGAGACTAGAAACCTAGCCTGCCTTTGTATACAGCTAGGTCAATAGGCGTATTGTCTGTAGCTCGGATGATTTAAAATTTTATAGAGCGGACATATCACAGCAATTTTACTTAAAACTGTCGATACTAAGAGTCGTAAACTCGAAAACAGAGGGGAAAGGGGGAGGGTGGGAGGAGGTAAAAAATATGGTTATCGTTACAGGCACGTATATCATTTTAAATGTTATAAAATTAATCTTGTGATTACTACGGATATAAGTAATCAAACTATTACAAAATTAATCCAAAAAAAGTAATCGACTACAGGTAATTTTGTTGCTTTTATTGAGTACCGTAAAATTCTAATACTTTCGTTTCTTTTGCAAAACTGATCACATTCAAACATAGTATACTTTGACAAATAAGCTTCTGACCAACTGGCGTCATGTGAGACTAACTACACTCGTGTTGGCATGCTTGTGTAAAGTGCGTAGCGATGAAAGCCAGTGCAGTTCCTTGGCCAACCTAAAGACTTGGATTGTTTCTAGTATAGTACGTGTTGCTTTGACTGGCTAGATAATAGTTCAAGTATTCGTTGAGTGAAAACCAAGAACGACATGGTGTCCTCGTCAAGAAACAACAATGATCTCCCTGTGCGATTTGCCGTGTGGGGTAGGACTGATGCTTTTTTCTTTTTCCTTCGAAACCCTGTGTAACAAAGTAAGCTAATTGCTCACATCACAAATCGCAACACTGATGACAAATTGATGTAATTTGGCTTCGTGATCGGTTTTTCGTATTATTGCCGCGCGCGCGGCTGGCCAAGCAGGCAGCGCGCGCGTGTCCTAACGGTTTTCGCACCTGCCTCCCACGAAAAAAGCCAGGGTTCGATTCCTGGGAGCGGCGCATGTTTTTGTTTATTCCTGCAGACTAGTATTCTGGTAAATTCGAGAATCCTGCTGCTTGTTCGAGGTCCGAATGTTCTACGCGTCGAATTTCTACGCCGATTATTCCAGAAGCCCACGCATGTACAGTGCTAATCACACTTGTCTATAACGCGCGAGCGTGCGGCTTTCTCCGGGGAGCGCTAGACTGGTGGCATTCGCGGAAACTAAGCTAGTCACGTGGCGCAACATGGAACGGCCCACTCGAGGGGTGTCCTGCCCACTCTATCAGCTGGCGGCGAACGCGGAAGGCTGCTCGCACGCTTTTTACAAACATCATCGCTCGAACAATAAACAAACTAAGCATGAAGGCGTATCAACGATGTCGTCATCAAAAAACAAAGATATATCACAGAGCACTTTACTTTTATCGCTTATCAAGCTGATAGAGTGGGCAGGACACCCCTCGAGCGGGCTGTGCCATGTTGCGCCACGTGACTAGCTTAGTTTCCGCGAATGTCACCAGTCTAGCGCACCCCGGAGAAAGCCGCACGCTCGCGCGTTATAGACAAGTGTGATTAGCACTGTACAGTGCACTTCAAACTTAACGCCGCCACTGTGTTCCGAAACATTAGGCTCGTCTCGGCTACTTAGTAATAAATTTGTCACCAAAACGTTTGGGATGCCGTCTGAGGATGGGATAGAAATCAGGAACCCAAAAAATCTTCAGATAGTTCACTCGGCTGCCGCAGGGACTGTTAGAAATGACAAATGCCGTGACGACGTTAAGTTTGAGGCGCATTGTACATAAGGGGCTCCGCGTGGCGAGCCACAGTCAGTTTTCGCCCCAGCGTTAGACTCTGCTGTTACGCCGACTTCGACGCCCGCGACGCTCTCTTCTTTTGTACCCTTTCATTTTTGGCACAAGTTCGCCACATTAAACGTTTATTTATTTCTGTTTATTTATTGTCCTTTTGGTCACCACCAGTGACATTATACCGGCAGCCCATGCATTGCAAGGATGGCTGAAATCTGTAAGACAACGTCTGGCAAACCAGAATGCAGGAAGCGTAAGAGCCTCGAATACAAGCATGATGCTAATCGCCCTTGGAAACCTCGCGAAATGGTGAATACAACAGAATATTGCCTGATACACATGATGCGATTTTACTCGCGATTTCGTCGTTGCGATGTCGCTTGTGCGGCAAAATAAATAAATAAATAAATAAATAAATAAATAAAATAAAAACACGGTGAAAGCTACGGCGCTCAACGTCGCAACTGCAAATTCACAAGCAAGATCGTACCATGTGAGTCGGGTTTATCTTAGTCTGCCTTAATGCAAATAAGTAATGCACTTTTTGTTTCGGCAGTCCCTGAAGTGGTTTGCAATCATTTTTATTTAGACACTCGAAGATCTAGCCCTCAGGACTAGATCTTCGAGTGTCTAGGTTAGGAATACAACAATTCCTCTAGGTTAGGAATACAACAATAAGAAAATATTTACAAATCGTGAGCCATT